TTGCATTCGGGAATAGCGATATACGGTCGGTGAAGATTGTGATCAAGCCCACTGATCGCGATCGAGACCGCAATCACCAAATCAGTGTACGCACTTTGATCTAGATTATACAATCGATATTGCTACATAGAAGGGAAAGAGATCAGGGACAGCGACCCCGGATCGCAATCACGTACCACAGCCTGAGACCGCCAGAAGGAACCGCAAGCTGATGCCGCGATCAGAGGACCGCGATAAATAGACCGCTAACCGGCGTGTGCCACATGATTGGAAGGATTGCAAATCCATTCTGAATAAAGGCGACACATGCCAGCAGATCGTACCCTATGGTGTAGGCATAGTCATAGTTTTAGTCTTTGGTTGATTAAAATTTAGAAAAGGTCAAATTTGCTATAACCTTTTCGTGACTTTCTTCCTCCGGCCAAGATATTTGGCCTCAAGACGTCAGAGCACTTCGGCATTACGAAGAGAAGGGTCACTCCTATGGCTATTTTACCAGGAGTGCAAGGACTCTTTTTACCTCTTAACTGCGATCGGACGCAGACAACTTTACTGGTTGAAGCACAAAATCATAAGACAGCTCAAGTGTTCATAAGGTGCGTGACTCAGGTACCCAATATTTGGAACAAGGCGATCAAGGCTGATCGCAGCGACTCTAGTAGAGCGCCGACCATAGACACGCGATCGTTTGATGAAATTCCATCCGATAAAAACCAATCTTTACAACGTCAAAGTTAAGCATTGAATCAAGTCCACGTAGAATAGTCCATCCCGCCCTACCTACGGATACACAGGGTGAGGAGTAAACAAGTACAGGCGGAATTGGAGTATCCCCTCCATTAGTAGCTCTTCCGAGCGCCAGTGGAGACTTGAGGTCACCACACAAATTAATCAAACTTCACTTTTCTACAATGTGGATTGAAAATTTTGTTTCAGGAGTGTATGAATCGCACAAAAAAGACCTCCATGAATTTGACAAGAAGTTTTTTCGCATGAACTGCTCATCATGATGTCAAAAGCTAGCTCTTCTAAAGCTTTAATAGACAGCACTGTACGCGACATCTGAAGCATGATAGGAGCTGGAAGTGTACAAATAAACGCCCCGAAAGCTTAGTTTAATGTATTTTTACGCACGGTATCTCATGCAGCGCTGATAATATTGAATCAGCAGCTTATCTCGAAGTTGCGGGTGTTAAAAAAATTATGTTTAATCTTGTATTATAAACCTATTATTAAAATATTTACAAACAGTACCTTCATGAAAAGATCCATGAGGTACTCGCAATAAAGGATGACCAAAACCCCGAAAGCGAACTCTACATTTTTCCGCCTGCTGTCATATGTTAGCCATGGTGGCTTTACCGTCCGCGTGCGTGGATTTTAAGCGTTTTGACAAATCCGTCTCTGGTATTTGTTAAGTTAAATCCAAAATCCACTGGGTAGGATTACGAACTACGACGTTTTATTAGTCAAATAGTCGAACAAACTATAATTTGGCTCCGGATATCGCAATAGATCTATCTGGGAGAACGTCGTGGACGCCTGGGACAATGGACACTCACGTGTAGAAATTATTCTTCAATTTAATTAGGAGATTAAGACAACTAAAAGAAGGCAATGAAGAAAGTTACTATTACCGGATCGACGCTACGATAAATGACTTCACGGGCTTGATTCATAAAAAACTTGGCTAATTATAGGAGTTATTGAACAGGGCTCAAAAATTATTTGAGGCCATTGTATTTTACAAAATGGAGACTACAGTAGCTTAAACTTTTATTGACGTCTTTAAAAGTGCGATTGCAAACTATAGCGATAAGCTGGCGATCTTAGCACTCGAGAACTATGGGATGAACTCTACTCGCGTATGGATGCCCCCTGATTAGACATAGAAATCAGTGCATCCACTGCTATCGCAGCTTGGGCGATTGTTTCATTAGTATCGACTAGTTTGATGTATATTTAGGCGCCAAAGTGTTGTAGAATCTGTTGCAAGGAGGTCGCCGCAGTTAAAAATTATTGTTGTAGCATCCTGATTTGCTACAGCGCTCCGTTCACGATAGCTCGTGCTGCGATCGATATGCCCGAGCAGGACCTTTGACTGTAACAGGAATCTACATAACAGAAGTGGATTTGGATCGAAGGTACGTCAAGGCCTTGCATACAAAATGTAAAACCGATGTGCTTACATGTGTAGGAATAGGAAAAGTAAGTAAAACAAGGTGGGTGGCGCAAAGCGAGTCATCAAGACATTTATGAAGTCATCGTAATACCTACTTTACCATTTACCATTTTACACTCCTTGCAATGCGTACAGAAACCCGCACCACAATCTTGTCGAGTTTTGTTTACTAAATGATGAAAGTTTTTTGTTTCAACCAACCTAATCTTCCTGCGAACATCTTCAGGACTGTTGTTTTCCCTGCTTCGTCCCAAAGTTTAAAAGCTGTCATAGTTCTTTTTGAATGAGGTAACGTTTTAGTTTTGATGACTGCTTTTCATTCGACGGCATGCATTTACAAACCTTCAGTCAATAAATATTCTTTTCGGGATGTTGTTGGGTAGTTTATTGTAGAATATGGTCACACACGTCGCGATGTATGCGTTCACAGCGAAAACATACCCACAACTATACAACACCTAGGCAGAATAAATCTAAACTTAAACTAGAGCTTCTTCTATACCGTACATTACATATTCTCTAGTTGTGTGAAGATATGCCTCGTGCTAACGAACGTGGTGAATGTAAATTTATGGTGCAGATGTGAGCGATCTCGCTTAAACAGTGTCAAAAATCAGCATCTTTTCTAAGGTAAAAATCGTCAACCGCAGATACTAAAAAGCCTGAAGTAGGGTAGTATTCTGAATAAAAAATAGTACCTAAATTGATTTTTTTAGCTTTGCACGGAAACGTGAGTCAATATTATAACTAAATGGTACACAGGACTCAAACCTGACGAAATTAGTGCACTTTTAAGTTTCCCCCATTAACAATGAATAAGCCAGTTGAACCTCAGCTGACTGAGTTTTATAGCCGTGTCATACACAAGACCACAAAATTGTAGTTATTACTGAAACTGTGACTAGTTGATAATGTCGATAAGCGCTATTATACTTAAGTAAAAATGCGAAGTTATTTGTTAGATTGTTGAGTGAGGAGACGGTTGCGTGTAACGATATTTACTCGAGAATGACGAAAAAGAAAGCGTTCTGTGTCCTCTTCTACCTCGTTGGCTCTGGTTGACATTGCACTGCGCACGATCTGATGCTATCTGTGGTGTAGCAATCCGTGGCATAGCAATTCGTGGTATAGCAATCCGTGGTCATGTACTTCTCGATCCAACGATGTACAAGTGTCAACGAATTTCGTACCTACACAAAGACTGCGATTGTGTAGGCGACCTGTCGTCACCACGGGTTGAATCCAGCGCACAATGCGCACACCGGTATTAACACTGTACATGTAGATATATTCTGCTTTAAAATATATTGATGATGATCAAAAAATCTTGCTGTGATCTTTTTGCGCTGGCAAAAAGCTAAGAATTTTAAAGACGGAAATGACACACAAAAGTGTTGGCAATTAATTTTTGTGAAGTTGTCCGCTGTGCTGTCTAACACCGGCTGTTATCAGGGTGAGTCTTTCCAGTCTTTAGCTCGTTATAGCTTTGTCCTGGAAATGCGATCTTTCTAACCCCGCCAAACCATCAATCCCACGGAAAACAAAATAATCGTTCTCCTCGAAATGTCTTAACACTCGACTGCCATAACCTTCTACGAAAATGAGTTATTACGATGACTTCAGCTCTCTTCTCAGTCCACGATACCCCGCTGAATCATGAAACCGCGCTACCACTCAAAATCCGAATCTTATCTACAGTGACCACTCCTGCAGCACTCGTGACGTTGCCTTCATCTCCTCATTGCCTGAAAGAGCCATCAATTTTTGCTTCCATTTAAGTATCTGTCATATTCTCTGTACGACGGCACCTGTCATCTCGATTCCTGATTGTAGTGGCACGTGCATTAAGGTGTAAATAACCTTAGTATCGTCGAAACCTGCACAAAAATCTTCAGAGGGCGGTTTTATATCCGCACCAACTACTACGTCAAATACTTCTGCGCATTGGCTGTACATCTCTAGATCCCTTCAGCGCTGTTGGCGGCGCAGCAGCCTGATGTCTAGAATAGTTTTTGATCACGCTGGGTTTGCTGCAAGGTATGTGGTGCCCTAATTTGTGTAAATAGCATCAGACATAAATGCAGGTCACTTATGGTCGCTTGAGGTCACTGCACCGGCCAGTGTGACACTGACCGTCACTCAAGCAATGCGACCGGTCAATTACATTGCTCACGAGTGCCATTTGTGTTCATCTGTTACATTTCTTTGATTGTGAACTAGTGGTTTGTGCAATATGGACGACAAAAAGTTGCATATCATGAATCCTATTGTTGATGACGTGGTGATTTTTGAGACTAAATGCGATGCGGTATCATGAGTGCTGCTGTACGACATCCTCTACTCTTTTGGTATATGAATCCATGCTTATTTCATCTACTTTGCGTTAAATTGCGCTCATGACGTTTCGAAGTACACGCGATTAATATCTATCTGACGAGCAGAATCTGTAATGCACATCCTATTACGTAGGCGGAAACGCGCGCAATTGCAGACTGCTTGTTCTCTCTGCATGAGCTTAAACGATGCGCACTGTGGATTCCATGTGACACTTGTGTGCGCGAAGGGGATTTGTGCTTTCGCAAGCTGCTTTCTCTCTGACCGGATCGAGCCTGCTTGATGACCATCCTGCAATCGATAAAGGTGTATTTAGTAAAGTTAAATTTGTCTCCTACTGTGAAATATGCAGTAACCGAAGGATACGGCTGTATTCCAGTTGCATCGGGCGATCAGTACGCAAACGACTATCTAATCGACAAGGCGCTTCTTCCTCCCCATCAAGCTACGTTACCACTACGAGGAGCGATGAATAGCCAAGGTGTTACTCGTTCGACAAACCGTTCTTGTCCTCGGCGCTTCTTGTCTCGTCATCATTGCTTGTCCTAGCAACGTGCTTAGGTGACAAGTCTTCATCTACAGCCGCAAAATGAAGCGTCTGTTTGTCGGCTTTAGCCCCGCTGATGACAGCCTCCTGCGTCTCAGTATATTCCTCTTCAAGCGTCGACTTGGCAACCTCCTCTTTCACGACCACTGATTCAGCTACTTCCTGAGCCGTCATTATGGTCGCCCCCGGGGCAACTGTAATGACGGCTTTCTCTGCAGCACAAAGCACGAACGACCTCTTCGATGCACGGGAGGAAGCACCATTAGACGACGACGTGCATTCACTTGAGGTAGATGAAGGAGCACGACAGTGGCTTCGTGTAGCCCGACCGCCTTGTCTGTCTGGCCTTGCAGTCTTCTCTTTAGTGTTTTGGCCCTCTTTTACCATCTTTGCAAATTCGTGAGCCTCCAAGCCGCGGCGGACGATATCGGCACTCGTCATCAGCGACTTCTGCTGTTTATCGTCAAAGAATGAGCGCAACTCACGCTGACGCTTTTCAGACCTCGCAGCATTTTCCGCTTCTAGGCGTTTGCGTCGCTCGTACTGCTGGCGGGCACGCTCAGCATACCCTGGTGCGTTCTCGTAATTCATATAGCGAGGAACCGTCGAGTTCAATTTCTTGCGTGAAAGTGCTGACCGAACATACGGCTCCGGCGGTTCTCCGATCGCTGCACGAGCAGTGAGGGATACGCGCCGATTATTTGCATCTCCAATGCATCTCACTCCAGCCGATCCAAAGCTCTTTCGGCGCTCAGCAGCAATAAATGCCTCCCTCGTGATAGTTTTATGGGTGACTGCACGAACCGAATCGGTCTGAATCCCGTCTCGCGCATTACTTTTGACACTCGAGACACTTTTGGTTCGGGCTGAGATCGAGGGCAATGGCACATCGACATCATTACAACGCTCACCGTTTTTCGTCTCACGGGCAGCGGTTGTGGCCGCGGTCAGTACACGTTTCGATACACCATAAACTGTCGGCACAGGCGATGCCGGCTTAATGACGCTAGTGAAACCAACCAAACCCACACGTTTTGACGATTGAGTCCTTGGTGCTAAATCATTCGAAAAACCACCCTTCCTAACCCAGCCCGAATTATTTACCGCCTGACGCGAACCCAAGCGTGCTGGGAATGACGCTCGTTTCAGAGGCGCTGACGCGGTAGCAGTGGTAATTGGGGCCTTTGTTGATCCGTTCTCACTGACAGTGCTCTTGCGCATGGATGCTATGCTTTTCTTTGTAACGTGCGGTGGCGCTTCGGTGCCATCCTCTGCTTCCGTTGCCTTTTTCGCTATGTGTGACGGAGCAAAAAAAGCACAGCCCTCAACAACAGGAGCAACGGGTCCACCAAGCGACGACCTATCCGATCCTACTAGCCCCGCAGACGTTTCGTGAGTCACCTTTGGAGACGTTTGCGTCACAGTATTCGAAATCGAGCTTTCCGTCGTCTTTGTTGATGTAATATCAGAATACGACTCATGTGATTGAGAGACCCTCGACTGCGACAGGGCTTCAAAATCTTCTTCACCATCTGTCATTGGCCGTTCTTTTACAACAACTGTATCCTCGATGTCAATGGTGTGGTCATCCTCAATCACGAACGACCGCTCTGTCGTGAGCATTGGTTGAGAACTCGTCTTCACTTCCCTGTTAATTATTTCCTTTCGCATTTCGCAAACAGAACGATCCTGTTCTGACTGCACCGGTCCCTTCTCAAGACTTGCAGCAACTTTAAAATACATGACTCGAGGATCTCCACCAGCTTCACCCCCATTAATAGCGATCTGGCCGACCGGTGAAACAGACGCATCCCGATAAATATGCTCGGATTCAGTACAATCGAACTCGACCACATCGCTCCGTGCAGCCTTCGTCTCGACAGCCTCGCGCTGTGCGACTTTCTTCTCGACAGCCTCGCGCTGTGCAACTTTCTTCTCGACCACCTTGTGCTGTGCAACCTTCTTCTCGACCAACTCGCTCTGTGTAGCCATCGATTTGACCACTTGGGCTAGACTAGTCTGCACAGAATTCGCCTGCTCAACAACGCTGCAGGTAGTATCGATCGTGTCCAAAGCTGTCGACTCAACCACAAAAGCTTCCTTGACATCCACCTTATCCCTTGCTGTGACTCTTTCTGGCCCAAAATCTTGAGCTCCTTCAACTGTTTCCTCATTATCGAGCTTATTGCGGCCATTTTGAGCTGCACAAAAATTTTCGGCAGTAGCTAAAAGAGTGTACTGACAATCAGCATCCACAGTAGTCTTGTTGCCTTGAGTACTTGTAGGTCCGTTGTCCACGATTACTGGCAATTCAACAGCTTTGCTGCCAACTTGAGCTATTTTTACCGCCGCAGCAGCCTTACACTCTTTCACATAAGGCAGCTCACCAAAACTAGAATGCGTTTCCTCCTTATTGACACCATCGCCTTCAGTATCAAGACAGGCCACGATGTCATTTGCTTCCACCTCGACTGAAACTTCCTCTACGGAGACCGATACATCGCTGACCTCCTTCAAGGCTGTAGCTGCGATAACATCAGCACCTGTCTCAGCCGACTTCACAGCTATTTCTTTCTTCATTTCTGAGCAACTCGCGGCACCAGTCGTTGCTGTCTCGTCGTGAGCATGGTCCAGTACTTGCGTAATCGCCTCTGAAGAAGCCGCGGCACTAAACGCCATCTTAGACTCTTCACATGTCACAGTTGTCGATGAAGGCGTACAGCCAGCGCTGCCCCGCTTGACAGTTTCGGCAGCTTTCGTTACACCGCCCTTTGGTCTCGTCAGTGCTTCAAACTTTGCCTTCTCAGCACCAACATGAATACTACGCTTCCCTTCATCGGGAAAAAATTCTCGCACAGTGCGAAACTTCAAAGTGTCAAGAGACTTGTTAAGTTGCGCATGGGCCTCCAACTTTTGTTTTTCCGAGTCAACGTGAACACTCCGCTCTACGGGGAAAAATTCACGAACTGTGCGAAATTTCAACGCGTCGAGTGACTGTTCGCGTTTGCCTTCAAAACGACTTGCAATGCTTTTTACAGGTGTCAAGGCTTCTTCTGTATCACCGCTTAACTGTGGAGAAGAACTGACTGCAGAATTTGCGTCATCAAAACATAACTTCTTTCGACTTGCAGTAGCGTCGGGTGTCATAAAACCACAGGAATCGGCACTAAAAGTACGATTCAACACGGCTTCGTTTTCCATGTCCATAGTGACGGATGCGAATTCAAAAGACATTGCACCCGGCACAGGATCTTTTTCGAAAGATTTAGATCCTGACGCCGTCTTGTACTTCGACTTGATGACTTGTTCTGCCTTCGCATTTAGCTTCTGCTGCTGGGCATGCGCTTCATACTTCTCTTTTTCCGCTCCCACATGGACACTGCGCTCGTCAGGGAAAAAGCCACGTACAGTGCGAAACTTCAAGCTGTCGAGAGACTGTTCTCGCTTGCCTTCAAAACGACTGGTAAGGCGTTTGACGGGCGATACTTGTTTTGGTTTTGCTGGTGCAACTAATTGTGTAGAAAGTTTAGGCGGTGACGGCGCGACCACAACTTGCAAAAGCTCAATGCCGTTAGTCAGCAATGCTTTACTACGAGAACTTTCAGTCAATGCAGTAATCTCAGCCAGCTCCGGCTCTACGGAAACAACAGCTGCATCAGTGTGTGTTGCTACAGCCGCGCTTAGTGTGATTTCGTCCATTGGCACAGTGTCAGCTATTTGAGCCACCAATGGTTCGACAGAAGTGACTTCGACAACACACGCGTCCTCTTTCTTGTGTGTGTCAAAATATGTTAATTTCTCAGACACTTCAATCGTAAAATTTCCATTAGCAACCTCATCCGGCAACGTGCCACTGTTGCCAGATACCTTTGCTTCAGCTTGTAGTGGTTGCATGTCCGCCGGCCGCACATCAAATCCGGCTTGCGCTTCACGATTTTGCGACACAGATTCAGCGTTATCAGCAGTAGCAATACTTTCGGTCGCATCTGTTGTCTCATTCGCAGTACTCCGCACTAGTGGGGACACAAACTCATCTTCACACTTGGTACTGACAACATGCCCATCATCCGAACCAGTGATCTCCGGCGTAATCAATATTTCCACTCCCAGTGTCTCAGTACCTGATAAAGCAATTTCCCCTGGCAGAAGACCTGATGTGGTGCCACCGAACTTTTCCGCAGATTCTACAATGCCTAAAGCAAATGCCGAGTTGGTCACGTCCGACAGCTTTCCAGCTCGAGACACAACATCCGTGCTTTCACTTATCTCTTCACCATCCAAACATACCAAATCAACCATCGACTCGTGCACGCAAAAGTCCGTGTTTCCATCGTTTGCGTCGACACCTTTGTGCCTCGGCACCTCATGACTTTCAACAGTCCCTTGTTTTATCTCCTTTTCAGCTGCCACAGCTAGTTTCGAAAAATCATCTTTCTTCTCGCCACCACTAACTACGTCAGAGCTTTGCTCTTGCTTCCCATCCAACTCCCTCTTCGTCGTCATTGGCGTAGAATCATCCCCACCCGCTTCCTTTGGCACTTCCAGTACCTGCGCTGCCGTCTCCAAAATAGATGGACTCGACGGCTCTGCCGACTTCTTTGTTCGTCCCCCTTTGAACCTCGAAAAAAGAGATCCTACGGCGCGCGTCCCCGAGGCTCGAATTGTGACAAGGGACTTCCGCTCCAAAGACGGACGCCTCACTTGGTCGTTTACAAGAGCAGCAGCTGCAGTGCAAGCAGGAACAGGAGCGGCGGTAGTAGCACTGGCAGCTGCAGAATCAGTAGAAGTAATAGTGACAGCACCAACAGTAGCTCCGACCTTCTCCAGCTCGTTTACCTTCATCCCCAGCTCGTGCATCTCCTTCTCCTGCTCGTCTACCACAGTCTCATCCCAAACAGCCTTTTCTTCTCCCTCTTCTTTCACTCCTCCATAGCTTCGCTCGGCTTCTGCATTTACCACGTCCATGCCTTTCTCTCCCACCTCGTTCGTCCTCGTCTCCACCTCGTTCACCTCGAAACTCGTTCGTCTGCTTGTCGTCTTTACCTCCTCCTCCTTGCTCTCGCTCTTGTCCAGGTCGTCCATGATGCTCAACACATCGAGCTGGGGCTCTGGCTCAGGAAGATGCACCGCTTGAGCGTCCATACTCAGCAACGTCAACGACGCAGGGACCTTTTCGTCCATCTCTGCGGCGCAACTGGACTTCTGAGTGTGGTCAGCTCGAGATAAGAAAGTAGTGATGCACGGGAAATCTGTCGTCGCGACGCGCGGAAAATGTGATATCACGGGTTTTTGACTGAGTCTGAGCTAATATAATGAACGGATTGACGGAGTATTTATCAAAGGTTTACTTAATGTAGCAGGATGCGTGCACCGCCGGCCCGTCTGTGGTACTCTATCCCGGAGAGTAGAAAACACCCATATGATTCTTGAAAATATTCACGTCGAGCCAGAACGCTCGCTACAGGTACATCAGTCGGTGCATCACGCATTGTTTCCACAGATAGCTTGATAAATACGCACGAGCGGCAGCACTCGTCTCGGTGATTGCGCTATAAGTAAGACGAAGCACACTATCGATGTTATGATTCCAATTTAGAGAATAGGACCAAGTTCTGATGTGTGTCTTCCCATTTTAAATAGTCGGGGATACCGGATTGAAGATAAGTGGTGCGTCGTGGGGTATGACAACTACAGCGTTGCCGTGGTTGATGTGTGATAGAAGCAACGCGTTGTTGTATATGTTATCATGGCAATCATCCGATCGCCGCTAGATTGTTGTTCCGTCGCAAGTAGTTTTACCCGATTGGGCAACAACTGCATAAACTCAGACCGAATTAGTAATTACTCAGCCGCCTCGACTCCAAAACAGACACGACAGCGACAGTACGTGTTTTTACGTTTTTCGTTGTTTTTAGTCTTTTATAAACGCTCCGTGGACGTGTCAAAAATAGTATGTACAGCTGACGAAGCCGAAAGGGTGTGTGATACGTGAGAATACATGCTTTTTGTTGACGCCAGCCAGGTGGACACGGAGATTAAAGTGTTGAATAAAGTGTGGAAGAATTTGAAAGCAATGCAGTTAAGAAGCAGAAGCTTTACGATGAGAACGTGTAAGTGCTGCTGAACGCAAAGCCTTCAATACGGCCGAGTATAATGCGCCTCATGCGTCTAGAGTCACGAGATCACGATAAAATAAAGTCCGAGGCTCACGAGGTGAAGAAACGAGCCACCAATATACTTCCTACTAACAATACATTTCTCCTTACTGAGGAAAGCAAAGTCTATTTTCATGAATCCAAAGCATTGTTTTCCAATGTTGGTAACTCCTTAATTCTATCAAACTTGGTAAATTATACAGTCACAGGGTCGCTGCTAGCTGCGCATACGATTACTGTACATGGAGCTTTCGATAGTGGTGCAATTTAGACCGTAGCGAACGTGAGTAGTAATTTGAAAGAAAAAGCTATCGGGTTTAAATAGGGCAATGCATTCACTCTAAGTAGGGCATTTTAGTCCACGCACACGAATTTATACGGCAGAAAGTTCGTACTACAGCTACCGCAGCGTTTTATCGAAAATCTCACACTGCCAAGGATTTTACTTTAGGTTTACAAGCTGATCTCATGATATACTACACAATGCCCGCTCACATACCCAATCGCGGTTAGGAGTAGACTGTGTCCGGTTACATGGCAGTTTGGTAGATAAAGTCATTATTTAGGGGCCGCTGCATGCACCTTAAGCCAAGCATTCGCTTATCGCGCACAATCGTCCTCTACATGTATAGAAGACAATGAGCATATAGGCGAAGAAAGGAAAATGTCGATACGAAAGATTTGTAGTTGCGGCTTGAGCGAAAGAAAATTAAACAAAAGGATCAAAACGATAGAAAAATGTAAAAACATTTATTGCCGCAGACATATTTGTTTCGGAGTTGCGGCGACTGAGTAGTTCCCAATTTAGTCTAAGTAAGGGTAGTGCGTGGTTGCTGAATCAGGTGAAACTGCCGGCAACGACACGACAACGTGCTCGCGATCGGTCTATTATTTATGACAACTGCATGTCAGCTTTATTCCATTTACGTATTTTTCTGTATAATTTAGCATTATGTGTAAATTGCTGGCTATTTGGATATTCAATGTTGCTCACCTAACGTTATTTATCAGTTTTTTTTCATTTGAGTCCGAATCCTTAAATTTGCTAATTAATTCACGTTTACTTTTGTGACGCAGCGAATATAGTCGTGCGTGCCCATACGTTTTTGTAATTCTTTCATCAGTCACGGAGATTCCAACTTTTAGCCGAACGTGAAGGATGCAAGTGGAAGAAGATCCGAGCAGCCAGTTCCTCGACTTTACGAACGCCACTGACTTGGAGCAATTCATCGCGGACGTGGAGCAGGCGATCATTGGCTGGCATTTGAATGGAAAGGGCCACGCGTCGCTTGAGGCACTGAGCGCGGCGCCCCCGCAACGTGTGTCGGCTCACACTGGACATGAGTCTGTCGCTCTAGGCGCCGCGGTGTGGACAAAAGAATTGCATCTTCATCCGCTGGAAGAAAATTCAATAAGGAGATACACGCTTACGCTGTATGTATCTAGGCATCAGATTACGCGGCAGCAGGAGGAGGCTGCTGCTGCACCCGTTTTGACTACCACTAGAAAGCACAAGAAAAAGTGGCAGGAAGGACTGGAACACTTCACACCCACGATGCTTTCACTGGCACATGCTGGCCGGGACTTTCAGTGGGGATCCGAACAGACAGAATTGGAGGTGAAGGAGGAACAGGAAGAGGGAAGGACCTCATACTATGCGTCTGTGCTTGATGATGACCAAGAGCTGCGTTGTAGCAGAAACCAGACATACAAGAAGGTGCAAAAGTGGTTTGGGGTTGACGAGTTTTTGCTACTGAATAGGTCGACGCTACGTAGGAGTAAGAAGCAAAAGAAAGAGAATGAAAATGATGAAGCAAAGGAGACCATATCAAACGTCGTCGGACCGATTCAACGAGAAGGGACGGAGGACATTGGAGGGAAAAGTGGTGATCTGAAAGTCCATCAAGACGATTTTGCTATGGAAGATATGCTCATTGACGAAACCGAGGCGGGGATGCTTTTATCGGCGCTGCATGTGGCGCTGAACAACTGCAACTGTACGATTCCCGCGTTTGTGCCGGTGTTTGAGCCGTCTCGCGGCATGTGGGTCGGATCAGCTGTACCCGGGGCTACAGGCAACGTGTCAATATCGTTTGACACAGACGTTGTTCCAGAGATGAACTCGAATCAAAGCTGCATCAGCGGTCTGCTCGACTTTTTTAAGGCCAAGCTCCAACTGTCACCGCAAGTCGAACAAAAGTGTCGAGTAGTGGCGGATGCGTCTGGAGACCTTGCAATTGGTTTGACAGTGTCTGCCTCCTTTAAGTATTCGTGGAATCGAGCGAACGATCCTCGTGAAATTGTAGCTTTGAATAACCCTCTAGCTTGGCGAACACTAGAGCCCCAGCAACCAACCGACATTCAACATCAAATTTGCCAGATTGAAACCCAGCTGTTCGGTGAAAAACACTCATTTCCATACTTGGGAGCTTCCAGTACTCCTGTAGAGGGAATGGACCTTATTATCTGCTGGCCTCAGCTGCGTGAAGGCTCGTATGTCGATAATGTGGTGCACTCTACCTTGGATCTGAGCTCGGCTCCTCAATGGATGTTAAGCGTACGCTTTCAAGACTTGCTATCAGAAAACCAGCTCAAACCACATTTGCCACTCAGCAAGCGTATGGCGAATCTTGTGCAAGTTTATTCCAATTCCAGAGAGTTGAACAAAGACATCACAGTGTCCGAGTTGGCACCTCCTATGCCACCCACTCCTTCGATATCCAAGTCACACTCTGGCTCCGCCACATTTAGTTCTGGTACTGCTAGTAGAACTTCGTTGAGACAGCAACCCTCAAGTGTATCAGAATCGATTCCTGCAGCTCGCGCAGCGGTCGTACTTGGCAACGCTATCTCTAGCCTAGTATCTGTCGCCACGTGGAAATGCTCAGACGTGGAGGAAATCAGGCGGATTATCTCGGATATATTTGACGACGACGTTCAAGGTTGTGAAGAATTGACTAGCGATGGACAGAAAAAAAACGGTGGCAATTTTTTTGATAAGTCAAGCTTTTGGTTGGGGAGTATGACAAATTTAATTCAGCATGGCGCGCCATTAGGAGAACTTGTTTCTATCTTGGCGACCCGGATGTCACAATTGCGTAAGTTGTTTTGCTTTTACGTGTGTTGCACTATCTGCATGGTCTCACGTATTGCTTTGCTTGGGTCGGTTAACAATGCTGCGTAGAAAGCATAAACTCGATGTCGCTATTGTGGGTTGAGTTTGTGAAGGCGCTGAGAGAGCGGTGGTTTCAGCAGCAATTGCTTCCATTGATGGTACAGCTTTCTTCTGCTTGTCTGATCTACAACTTACGCTGATGTTGTGATATTCTGAACACCTATCGATGCACAGAGAACTAGTACTGAAGGTGGAGTTTATGGTCACAATACAGGCCCGCATTCTTTAGACACACTTTTCTTGCTAAAATCAGACACGATTCGACTTCCTCCACCAGACTTTCGTCAATGCCTTCTGCACCAAAAACTACAACTACTGAACTGGTGTATTTTAAGGTATGAAAAATTGTACTGGCCTTTGCGTATTCATGCCATACGCCTTCTATGCTAACAATCTTATCTTTGCGTAAAGTGAAGCACAGGTGTCGAGGCCAAATTTGACGGCTAGCGTCAGCACAATTTTTGGGAGACAAAATGGTTCTGGTGCTGAGAGCGCTACAGCCAGCAACAACTTTTCATCTGACAATGGACGGAAAGACGACGATGAGATAGACAGCAGTGTGAGCGATGAAGAGTTTTTTGACTCGTTGGAGCAGGTGAAAATGCCCTCTCCGTCGTCGTTGCGTCCTGAGGGTGTTCTTCGTGAAATGCCAGGTATTGTGTGTCTCCAGACAAATGAGCCTTTGCTAGAACCGGTGACCCAGACTTCGGTGCCGATAACAGAAGACGTAGCAAAAGAACAGCAGGACCTTTTTACCCGCTTAGGCGCAAGTGTCGAGTCCGGTAAACTGCGTCATCAAATTCAAAGTACGGCACTGGTATCTGATATGCAGGCTTTCAAAGCTGCCAATCCGCGATGCTGTCTCGCAGATTTTATCAGGTGGTATTCGCCGAAAGACTGGATCCCATTGGAATCTAAGATGGATCCCGCATGGAGCGAGCTTCCTATAGAAGGACAGGGTGTGTGGTGGTTTGAAGAACAGGGTATGCTATCAGAGCGCATGCGTTTCGGACTGGGTCACAAGCATATATGGCAAGAATTGTGGGAAACAAGTGCACCAGTGCCAGCAAAGCGTCAAAAACGGTCGTTCGACCCAGTTCAGGAGTCAGAAAAAGTTTATCACTACTTGGAGACACTTTCACCGCATGAACTTTTTCATCAAATGCTTGCAGGTGCAATTTCAAGCAGTGTGTTTGCGTTGGAGACCGCATTGCCCGTGCAAGTGTCATCTCAAAATCTTCCTGTGGTACATTTTGCGTTGCAAGATCTCTGTTTGTGTGGAAATCGTGCTATCGCTTTGCTAGATGAAGCTTTAGCTGAGTCACAAGTGACGTTTTCCGCCAATAGGAGAAGAAAACAACAATGTAACAATAACCTCGAACCATCAAAAGCAGCCCATCATCAAGGTCAGCAGCTTCAAGTCGCATTTGAAATGGCCCTGGATGCGTGTTGGAAGCTTGTGCGCTCGATTGAAAATATGGAAGCATTGGTGACGAAGGCATTGGCTCTTTTGCACTATTTTCCGGTATCGGAAGAGGATCAGATCTCCTTGGCTCTCGTGAATGCGCTTCTATTGCCGTCACTATCGCAGCATCATCAAGAGGAAATTTCGAAATTGTTAAAGCAGAGTAACTTGCGTCAGCTGGTGACTGCGCTAGTGCTGACCAGCTCAGCCCCTTCTGGCGCAAGTTCTGGGCCTGCACCCGTCCAGCGGGAGTACGTGCTGCGATGCATATGCCCTCGTCCATTTCTGCGAGATGTTAGTTCTTCACGAGCAATTGAAGCGGAGAATGCTGATCCAGCGGAGATGCAGCCAGAAAACGAGCTAGACGAAAGCCCGTTAGTCATCTGTCGGATGTACGCAGCTTTCAAAAAGAATACTGTACGATTCGCATTGGCTCTGGCCGAGTCTGAGTTCTGAATGGCCACCAAATAAGCTGAAATACGAAAAGATAAATGTAGGGGATTCACGTGTGGTTGAAGCGAGGGGATTAGTCGTTGCCGAGCCCAGGGGATGCGTTTAAATAAGACCAGTTATTGGATAGCCTCCAACTTTGGAGACTTTGGATTGCTACGGTCTTGCTTGGCTTGTTCTACGATTGACAAAATAGTATCCAGTCCCTATCTTGCGCTCTTAACTACTACATGGAACATTGGCAGCATCATTACTATCCTCGAACTCCGTTTTCTATTCGCAAAGGCAGCAAGTAACAAAACGACGCAGCCTAGTGATGAATTCATACTTTGACGGCAGCTGTATCGTTTCGAGTACTGTTATTGTAAAACTGCTAGTGCATTGTCTTAAAGCATTGTTCGGTAAAATCTCTTACTGTGTAATGTTACCTCCCCATCTTATCTTATGTTTCCACACCTCCTTGTCGACACCTATAGGAAAGAGCAATAGCTTAAAGAAGGCTTTGATGCGCTTTGTACAAGGCTTCAACATAGCCATTTGCTTTCCACGTGCGGGCCTTTCTTTTAGTCTGTCGTGTCTTTGAAAGCACGCCAATCCTCCCAATTCACCGCACTGAGCGCTGACACCGTTTTAAACAACAGTCGAATGTCAATTCAATGGTATTATCGAGGAATTCCAAAAACAATTAGAGGATGACACCTGCGAAGCCCGGCATAATCCTCGGCAAACATTCACACAACTGTTGCCACTTATGACGTACCCTTGCATTTTTGTCGTAAAATTTAAAATGCTTCAATGCATTCGAGGGATTTGGTGGAAATAAGTGTCGTGTCGGCAAATTGAACGCTTTCAGATACGCTAGGAGAATAAGAACGTTAGTTAGTCACGGCCGAAAATATAGATCGGTGCTGCATACATAATTGTAATCGACTTAAAAGGATTGCCTACATTTATATGCCTATATTGCATGGGCAAGCATAGACATTTATTTTGCTGATTTGTCGCTCGCTCCACCACGCAATATAATTTAAAACCGTTTACCATCTGCTAGGTTTTCGTTAGCACTCACCACCCTATACATGAATACAATTAATTTTCTTCTTAATTAAATAATATAATTGATGAGGCGTCTGATGGTCAAATCGATATTGTTTAATTTTCGGAACTAGTTGCCAATTTTATGGCTGCAATTCTACACATTCGTATTTATTCGCACGTGCTACTGTTCTACGGTTGTCACCGCCATTACTAAGTATTCAAACACTCATTATATTTTTTAATGGATACTCAACCAGCTCTGGGTGCTGCGTCCTGCACGCTGGAGCTGTGCCCTTAGGCGTCAAACGAACGTACAGCAAATATGTGCTCCTATATTATATAATTCATCTTATACAGGAGGCAAGCCTCATGAAATGAGGAGCGTCAAAGTATGCGTGTATGATGATGTCAGAAGCTAGTCAAATCGTTGACATATTTTTTGCGCTAGCGGTTTATACGTGGTTTTGAGCGATAGCTCGCTTCTCAGGTATGCTAAGGTCCTGTTTGATCCTCTCGAACGTCAAAATTGTAGATATTAGAGTCATCGTGACCATAAGTTGTCGACGTGCCGTCAACCAGCACCTCGAGAATTTCCTCAGGTTTTCTTTGTAGGGGCATAGGAAAAGTATAATGACAAGAGATTAATTTTGCTCAGTCTGATATGGCAAGGCTTGCAATTTTATCAAAGTGATGTATAATGTAAAGTTTTAGACGCTTACTTTGCCAGATGCTTATTTGCTGGAATATTTTGTTTACGTATTCTAATCTTTTGGGCACAGAGTTGATTGTAATTCTGATTTAACCCCTTAATCAATCAGACCAATTATAAGGCTACATAATTATTTATTCAGGCAATACAGAGAGGGTAATGGGTGGTCAACAAAAGTCTGACGATTGGTTAATGGCTCCCATAAAGTTACAAGATTTACCGATGATGATTTTACTAACAAGCAGTATTTTAAAAAATTACTTTATCACTGCTGTATTGTTGTCCATCGCCGGCTCTTACTTTATTGTATTCATCAAAAACCCATACTAAGTCGCAATTTGATAAATTTGGTCGCCGGTACCCCTATTCAGATAAATCTGTGACGACATAAAATTTTAAGGCCGCTACAAGCATCGATTTATGGTTATCCTTGCATCTTATTTGTGTTCGTCTCATTCGATGCATAATTAAAACGAGTATTGTGAAGTGCGGATGAACAGGTATGCACGTCGTTTGTAGCGCGATGGCATATGCGACAACATGAAGCAACAGGATCCCGACTAAATATCGGTCAATTGTTGAATTCGTGTGCTTGGGTGCGTGAACAGTTGGTATCTTTGTCGAACGCGCCTTGTTCGAAGCTGATATCTCTTTGCTTCACTTGTTCGTAATCTGCATACCGTTGTCATCAGCTTAAATCTTCCACATGCGTCGTAACCAGCGATGAAAAGAAATGCTAGACCTTGGTGATAACTTTAATTGCAAAATTGTCGTTTGTAGAATGCGCCTAATACCGCAATAGATCTGGTATGAGGGCAGATTTTTGATGAGCATGGTATGAGCTTGGCACCAAAAACTCGTGGACATGCTTGGCCAATTAATTTTTCATAACACACTGTGGTAGTTTAGTACGGGAATTTTGCCATTCCAATTGTTTGCGTAATTTAGTTGTCCTGTTGCACTGAATGCATCCCGTACATAAACCCTTAGGAACTTTATTTTTAGTCACCTTGATCTTAACTATGATCGAAGATGTCACTACCGTCGCAGTCTTTGTCAAAATAAAATTTAAAATACAATATTACATCTTCGTCGAAGTGGTAAAAAGTGACTGTGAAGTCAGATCATTCTTGATTTCTGTAAAAACGAGGATAATAAGTGGGGGGCATAGAACAGCTATATGCATAGATTGATAATAAATCACTCACCTTACTAACGAAAGTGTAGGATTATGAAGCATGACTTAATTGGCACTTTTATGCTCCTCTTGAGCATCAGCCTTTATTTACTGCTTTCTGCTTATTACCTTTTTACGAAGCGGAAAATACTCGGCCATTGCGGTGGCCTGGAAAATTTGCAGCACTAGGAGGTTCTCTTCATGTATTCGCTGCTTTTCTTCGCCTTTCATTCCATTTATTACATATAAAGCTCACCACTGTCAATTTACTTTTAAACTGTCTGTACGCAGGAGTCGAAGGAGCGGCACTTATTTTACTTTTCGCACTCCCTTTTTATATTCTTTGGCAACACAATCTGATTTTACACGAAGACTAGAGGAACTCTTACTTTATAAAAACATCAAAATCGATGAATACATATATAACTTGTATTGTCACAGACTGTCTGATTTGTGTTAGCGGCAATTGACTTAATTCAATGGAGCTAACTTGGGGTTGTTGCCGAATCAGGTGATAATGCCGGCGGAACAACAAGGTAGCAGCGATAAGGTGATTTCCATAGATTTCCGTTCACATTAAATTAGAAGATCTCAAGTATTTCAAGATTAGTTGCTTTAAGTTACTTGTTTAAGATGTTCCATAAAAAATTGAAGCATTTAGCGTGTTGGCGGTAAAGTGCGTCACTATATCTTAATACAATATGTGCTATATCCGCTGTAATGCTCTGTAAAGCTAAGTGGATTTCAGAAAAGAAGTATTGCGACTAAAGTGTGTGTAATCCTCTCCGCTTCATGAAGCAAATTGGGAGTGAGAATATGCAGGATATATAACAGCTATTATCTTTAACGCAGTATTTTTAGTCTTATTTAGAAAATTGAGAATAGCAAGGCTTGATAAAGCAACATTGAGGATCTATGAATTGTTGATCACCATGTAACGACCATTGGAGATTCTCACGGTATGTTTACCTATAGGGCTCCCTCGCATAACCCCCCAAAAACTGATAACTTTCTTTTCTTACAGGATTTAACGCCCACCAAGGTCGTTCTATGGTTGTACTATTGTTGCTAATTCATAATGTAACGGGGTGAATCGTTACATAACAATTTATAAGAAATTGTTAATAGAATATAACTATAAGAGTTATGTTCTTAGAACATTGTCATAAGGACAATATTCTGCAGCACTTACGAGTAGTCCCTAATTGGTTGATATAGGCCATTATATCAACCAACGAAGACGCGCCACGACAGACGCACGCAATGAGTGGTGAGCAGATAACTGATTTACACATTTGTATTTAGACATAGTTAGATGAGGATAAACAGCGGTTTATTAACGACATTAACTATGATAAATACAGTTTTACTTTTACTTTAACCAAGTACTTAGCTTCTACTTACCGTCTTCCTCTGCACGTACCAGTGTACGTGAGGTTATGCGGCATCGCTTCATACTGTCATAAGAATAAGTAGCATGTACTGTCATCAGTACAAGCTTGAAGGTGCCCCGTTTTACCTGGTAGCACTTCGTAGTCCGTTTAAGTACCACGTTGACATTCAACATGAATATGTTGGATGATGAAGATGACCAAAGCTTTCACGCTACGCGTGACGGCTACTCCCATTTGAGCGATGTCGAATGGGATGCGGTTGAACAGATGGGTTCAACCATGGGCATCCATGCTGCTAGCGTCATGCTAGCGGCTCTCAATAGAGATGCCCAACATGCTACTATCGCCAAGTTCATTCAAAATGAACTTGACGCAGAACGCGAGAAAGTAGCCTTGCTTCACCAACAAGGTTCTCAACACGCAGAGTTGTTGAGAAAACAGGATGCTCAACAGTTTGAACTATTGAGACAGCAGCAGGCTGCTGCTGCTGGGCCGATGCACTCGCGTCGACCCAAGACCTTGAAGATTGACATCTCCAAGTATACGGGAGTCGATGAGGACTCCCTCTTGAGATGGCTCGTCGAATTAGATGACGCCATAAGGGCGCGTCGAATCGACGACGGGGAAATGCAAGTTGCATTTGCCCAATCAAATCTGGCAGGACGTGCCAAGACTTGGGCACTGGGGC